TCTTGAATAATGGCTCCATCTAGAAAACTTTTTATCGTCATCATCACCATCATCATCATCACCATCTTCATCATGGCTAAAGTGTATTCAGTGTTTATGGTGTACTGGGACCATGACTGAAGCCTTTCCTGCACTACCACACTTAGCTACACAACTGCTCAAGGATGCACCATTATTATCCCCATCTTACACTTGGAGAAGAGAGTCATCTAGCTAACAAGTGTGCAGAGTTAGGATTTGAAGCTATGTTTGCCTTTAGATTGCATGCCTTTAAAACTATCCCACACTTTAAGTAAAGTAAAAAATATTAAATAAATGAGGAAGAGACAACATAAAACTGTGAATGAATTATACATACCGGAATTGCCTTTCAGTTGACAAATTAAAATAAAGCCATATAGTAGCTAGTCTCCAGAGATGGCCCCAAACATTTCCACCTTTTCCTATATGTGCATATTGTTCTTTCCATGAAGAGATGGTATATGTGCCCCCTCCCCATGTGTCTGATGGCTTTAACAAATATACTAGTAATTCAGGGCAGTTGACATCTGTGTCCTTTGAACTTAGGCATTAAGAAGGCCTGGCATGGTTGACTGATATTTGATGAGAGAGCCAAGATAATTCAATGGGGAATGAATGGTCATTTCAACAAATGGTACTGGGACAAGAGAATAGCTGCATATAAAGGAATGAGGTTGGACTCTTACCGCATGTCTTATAGAAACATTAACTCAAAATGGATTGTAGAACTAAATGCAAGAGCTAAAACTATGAAATAATTAGATAAAAACTTAGGAGTAAATCTTCATGGGCTTCCAAAAGGTGACACCAGAAACACATGTGACAAAAGAGAGAAATGGATAAAATAGATGATGATATCAAAATTAGAAACTTTTGGACTAAGGCAATACCACCAAGAAAGTGAAAAGCAACCCACAAAATGGACGAAAGTGTTCGCAAATCATATGTCTGATAAAGGACTTGCATCTTGAATATTCAAAGACCACTTAAAATTTAATAATAAAAAGACAAGTAATCTAATTTAAAAGTGGGGAAGGGTCTGAATAGACATTTTTCCACAAATGGACAAATAAGCACATGAAAACATGCTCAACATTATGAATTGTTAGGAAAATGCAAATCAAACCACATTGAGATTCTACACCTACTAGTATGGCCATAATAAAAAAAGAAAAAAATGATAACAAATGTTGGTGAGGATGTGGAGAAATTAGAACTCATACTTTACTGGAGGAATGTAAAATGGAACAACTACTTTGGGAAATAGTTTGGTAATTTATCCAAAAACTAAATAGAGCTACAATATGATCCAGCAATTCTACATTTAGGTTTCTATCCAAGAGAAATGAAATGTACATCCACACAAAAATTTGTATATGAATGTGGTATATCCAACTCTCTTTATATACCAAATACCATTGAATTGTACATATGAAATGTTAATTGCATGGTAAGTGAATTATAACCACAATAAAACTACAAAAATGTCCTGGCAGTAACTGCGTCCTCTCTCTTCAACTCTGCCTCAGTGTTCAGCCTGCCTCACCGGAAAGAAAAGCTATGTTGACTTAGGAATAACACGGGGCCAGACACCCGTGTCCTGGTCACCGTGTGCCTGCAATTGCATGAGTTACCTCCAGCAAGACTGATAGCGGAACTGCTCCGTTGAGCCCCAGGCAACCCACAGAATCTTGAGATATAATTAAAAAGTGGTTGTTTAAAATCACCAAGTTTAGGAATAGCTTGTTACATAGCAAAACATAATTGGAACAAATACTAAATCAAATTCTTACTTTAACACTGTGACTACATATGAATACTAAAATCAAATCCCATGAAAGGCTTTGTCTTAAAGAGAGGAACCTGACTTGATTTTAAGAGGAAATGAAATAAGGAAGAGCGAAGGGTGGTGGTGCATGTTTTAATAACATGGCAAGCTGAGCTAATCCGGGCAGGCCTGCCAACTGGTCTCTTTTCTTGGCAGCAGCAGCTGACCAACCACTTGTCTGGGGGCCACCAGCTACTTAGCAGGAGCTCTAGGGGACTGACAGGTCATGTTTCTGATTATAAGAAGTGACACCAGTAAACTTGCATCCACTTGTCCCCCCGCCACCCTGAAAGGAAAAATCTCTGAGCTGGAAAAGTGGTTAGAAACAGAGGTAAAGGCCAGGCGTCTGTGTCTGCATCTTAAATCGCTAAGGTGGAGACTCTTGATTCATCTCACTTCCACAAGGGGTCATCCTAAGGGGGTCGTTTTTAATTATTCTCTTAGAGAATGATGCATAGCAGGGCAATGCATAAAAATGAGCTTCATTCGTTCATTCAGGAAATACTTTTTGAGCACCTATTGTGCTAGAAACATCTGTAAACCTTTTTGTCTGAAAGCTTACAATTATGAGTAGGCTATTCCCCTAGGGCTCTGAAAAGGGACTTGGAAGGGGCACGTGGTCCTTATTTGTGGAACTGGAGACAGCTTCTTAGAGGAAATAATGTATGAAACTGGAAATCTTAGGAGGCTAATTTTAGTTTATTTTCACTCCAAAATACCTTATTTGAGGGTCAAAAGAAATGAAGAAATGGTGGTATTCCTATTTGGGCATATAAATGGGCTCTTCAGTTCTCCTTTCTAGAGTCCCATTACCAATGTAGGCTCCCAGGTCTACCTCTATGTGGCTTTATTCCATGCAGTTTATTTCTAGAACCTTCAGTATTTTCTTCTTTTCTTTAAAATTTATCTTTATTGTTGAAAGTATTACAGGTGTCCCCTTTGTGCGTTTTTTCCCCCATTGATCCCCTCTACCCTGCACCTGCCCCTCCCAGGCCTTCACCACACTATTGTCTGTGTCCATGGGTTATGCATATATGTATATAAATTCCAAAGTTAATCTCTCCCCGCCTCACACAGCCTTCCCTCTGAGATTCCACAGTCTGTTCCAAGCTTCTATGTCTCTAGATCTATTTTGTTCATCAGTTTATTTTGTTCATTAGATTCCACATCTGAGTGAGATCATGTGATACTTACCTTTCTCAAACTGCCTTAATTTGCTTAGCATAATACTCTCCAGATCCATCCATGCTGTTGCAAATGGTAGGAGTTTCTTCTTTTTTTATAGCTGCATAGTTTTCCTTTGTGTAAATGTACCACAGCTTTTTTATCCACTCTTCTGCTGATGGGCACTCGGGCTATTTCCAAATCTTAGCTATTGTAAATTGTGCTGCTATGAACATAGGGGTGCATAGATTATTTTTGATTGCTGCAGAACCTTCCAGTATTTGTTCATTGTTCCTTCAGTACTTTCCGTGTGGTGTGACGTGTCTCTTTTTCTGGATTTTTACATCTTTTTGCCATTGCCCATTCGTATGAATGTTATCTCTTCCTGTAAAACAATTCACCCCCAAACTTAGTAGTTTAAGGCAACAATGATGTATTATTTCTCTGGATTCTGTGGGTTGTGTGGAGTTTCCTTTATTGGTTTCATCTCAGGCTCATTCATATGGTTGTTGGAGAGTCACCTGGGCAGGAAGGTCCGGATGGCCTCATTCACATGTCCGAGAATTGGTGCTGGCTATTGCCTGAGCATCTCAGTTCTCTCTGGGACCTCTTTACCTCCAGTAGGTGGGATTTGCTTTCTTACATGGCTGTCTCATCATGGCATTACAAGGGGGTGAAGGTGGGAGCTGCAAGTCTCATATGTCATTTCTGCTGCATGCAGCTGGTCAGTGCAGTTCACAAAGCCAGCCCAGGTTCAAGGGAAGAAGAAGTAGACTCAATTTCTTGATGGGAGAAACAGTGAAGTCGTATTGGGAAGAAGCATGAGACTAGAGAATGTCTTATGATTTTGTCACTAGTGTTGATGTATATGTAGCAGCTGTCCTTTCCATCTTCTAAGAAGGGCCTAGTCATTATTATATCAAATATAATTCTTATTGCTCACACCAACTCAGTTGTTACTAACCCTGGGAAAGCAGCCTTGTAGCTATTTCTTTCGTGTGTGTGTGTGTGTGTGTGTGTGTGTGTGTGAGAGAGAGAGAGAGAGAGAGAGAGAGAGAGAGAGAGAGAGAGAAACATTGATTTGTTGTTCCATTTATTTATGCATTCCCTGGTTGATTCTTGAATGTGCCCTGACCAGGGATACCGGTTTCGGCTCAAATATAATTCTTATTGCTCACACCAACTCAGTTGTTACTAACCCTGGGAAAGCAGCCTTGTAGCTATTTCTTTCCTGTGTGTGTGTGTGTGTGTGTGTGTGTGTGTGTGTGTGAGAGAGAGAGAGAGAGAGAGAGAGAGAGAGAGAGAGAGAGAGAGAGAAACATTGATTAGTTGTTCCATTTATTTATGCATTCCCTGGTTGATTCTTGAATGTGCCCTGACCAGGGATTGAATCCACAACTATGGTGTATTGAGATGGTACTCTAACCAACTGAGCTATCTGGTGGCCAGGCTCTTGTAGCTCTTCTTGTAAGTGTGGTAATCTCATCATGGGAGCCCCGACTTCATGAAATAATCACCTCCCAAAGGCCCCATCTCTAAATACCATCACATTGGGCATTACCATTTCAGTATATAAATTTTGGAAAGACACAGACCTTCAGTCCACAGCAAAATAGAACAGCAATTTGGGAAATGGACTAATGCCTTTGGGAAAGAAATATTAGCCTTTGTAGAAAGGTAGGGTGGGACTTAGTAAATTGTAACTCCTTTTCAAGATGGCTAAACCAAATGCAATCTGCTAATGCTAAAGTTTCCATGGCATTTTCAGTTGTTGTTTTTTTCTCTAATTACTAGGAGAAAAAGCATCTTGTTCACATCTGAAGCAGATCCTTCTCTTAAAAATTATATTTGTGGCAGCACATGACAGCCATATCTGTCTGTCTGACAACTTTGCTGTGATGCCACACAGAAGCCTATGATGTAGGATTTCAAATGAGCTCTTTTCCTTTTGTATAGGTTTATTTTTTGTACCTTTTTCCCCTCCCAGGCTGATGAGCCCTGAACACACACTCCTGCAGCCCCGGGAAGAGGAGGGGGTCAAGTATGAGCGCACCTTCATGGCATCTGAATTCCTGGATTGGCTGGTTCAGGAAGGTGAGGCCACCACAAGGAAAGAGGCAGAGCAACTGTGCCACCGGCTTATGGAGTATGGCATCATACAGCATGGTGAGTGTATGGGTCAGTTTTTGCTGTGGTAACAAGCAAACCTGAAATCTTGTGGATTACCACCATAAACATTTACTTCTCACTCATAGGTCTATAAGTCAACTGTGCCTCTGCTTGGGCTCAGCTTAGCTAGAGGTCAAGTTCCATGCCTTCTCATTTTGGGACCCAGGCTAAAGGAACTTCCACTCTTTGGGATATATTGTTTTTACAAATGAGGGCAGAAGCTAAAGAGGGCAGGCAGATCCTTGTAGCATCTCTAAAAAGTTATATTCGATATGATTTAACATTACTACTCCCATACCCAGCTGACTACAGGAACTAAGTTGGTCAGGTCTGAAGGAGAATTAATGCCTCTCACAATGTTGGTTGCAAGGGGAGAATGAAAATTTGCTGAAACGGAGAAGGGGCTTAGGGGAACTGGGTGGAAAATGTGAAGTACAAATTGATAATTGCAAAATAGTCACGGGGGTACAGCCTAGGGAATATAGTTAATAATATTGTAATAACTATGCGTGATACCAGGTGGATACTGGAAATATCAGGGGGGAACACTTTGTAAAGTATATGATTCTCTAACCACTATGCTGTATACCTGAAATTAATGCAAAATAATATGAATGTAAACTTTAATTGAAAAATACATTTTAAATTAAAAAAGAAAGAAAATTTGCTGACCCATGCATGGTATGAGCTGCCACAGTGAAGAAGTAATCCAAATGACCTTCATAAAACTTTCACTTTCCTTTTTGGGCTGAATCATAATGATGCAATATAACCTATGGCTAAGAACTATATTAGTTATCTATTGCATAGGAAATGACCCCAAACTTAATGGCAGAAAATAATAAGAAATAATATTTTCTCACACAGTTTCTGTGGGTCAGGAATTTGGGAGTGACTTAGCTGGGTGGATCTCTCTTGAGGTCTTCATGAGGTTGTAGTCAAGATGTCAGTGGGCTGTGGGACATTTACACTATGAAATACTATGCAGCTATAAAAAAGAGGGATTTCTTACCCTTTGGGACAGCATGGATGGACCTGGAAAATATTATGCTAAGTGAAATAAGCCAATCTGAGAAAGACAAATATCACATGATCTCACTTATTTGTGGAATCTAACGAACAAAATGAATTGACCACCAAAATAAGATCCAAAGTATGGAGGCATGGAACAGGCTGACATACCTTGATGTGGGGGTTAAGGGGACAAGAAGACATAAACCAAAGAACTTATATACTTATATGCATAGCCCATGGACATGGGCAATAGGGTAGTGAAGACCTGGGCAGGGTGGGGGAGGGGAGTAGGGGCTGAGAGGAGGGGGTTAAAAGAGGGGACAATGGGAAATATCTGTAATACTATCAACAATAAAATATATATATTATCAGTGGGGCTACTTGAAAGCTTGACAGGCTGGATGGAGGATCTACTTCCACAGTGGCTCACTTGTGTGCCTAACTAGTTGGTGCTGGTTGTTGGCAGGAAGTGTCAGTCCATTGCTGTGTAGACTTCTTCATAAGGCTGCTTGAGAATTCTCATGACATGGCAACTTGGCTTCTTCTAGAGGGAGTTGTCCAACAGAGTGCAAGACAGAAGCCACAGTGTTTTCTAATAAGTGCTCAAACATTTATTAACATAACGGCAAGGTGTAGCTCAGAATGGTGAGAAAAGGGCTGTGAATCAGATAGGAATTTCAGCCTAAGCCAAGTTGAAAGGTAATACTTGAGACATTTTTCCTTTGAACTCCCTGCCCCCTCTTCTGTGTAGACCTAAGACTTCTCTTCCCAAGGCTAGGAAGATAACAGCGGAATTATAGAGAGAGATGAAAGAAACTTTTGAAATTACTTGGAGCTGTGTTTTACAAACAGCAGATTGCAACTCTTTCTTTATTGGGCTATGAAATAAATTTAGAAAGCCATTCCAGCAATAAAAATTATTTTAAATAGACTAGACTAGACTACTCAAAGTGTGGTCCATGGACCCAGAGTGTCACTGGGAACATGATAGAAATGCAGACTCTCTGATCCTGCCCACGTTCTGCTGAATCCGACTTATATTTTATTTTATTTATGTATTTATTTATTTATTTTAATTATTTATTGCTTAAAGTATTACAAAGAGTATTACATATGTCTCCTTTTTTCCCCCACCCTTGACAATCCCCTGGCCTCCCCTACCCCCGAGTGTATTATGTCCATTGGTTATGCTTATATGCATGCATACAAGTCCTTCGATTGATCTCTTAACCCGCCCCCCGTCCTGCCCCCCAACCCTCCCGGCCTTCCCACTGTAGTTTGACAGTCTGTTCGAGGCACCTTTGCCTCTGTATCTATTTTTGTTCATAAGTTTATAATGGTCTTTATTATCCATAAATGAGTGAGATCATGTGGTATTTTTCCTTCATTGACTGGCTTATTTCACTTAGCATAATGCTCTCCAGTTCCATCCATGCTGTTGCATATGGTAAGAATTCCTTCTTTTTTACAGCAGCATAGTATTCCATCGTGTAAATGTACCAAAGTTTTCTAATCCATTCATCTACTGATGGGCACTTAGGCTGTTTCCAGATCTTAGCTATGGTGAATTGTGCTGCTATGAACATAGGGGTGCATATATCCTTTCTGATTGGTGTTTCTGTTTTCTTGGGATATATTCCTAGAAGTGGGATCATGGGGTCAAATGGGAGTTCCAGTTTTAGTTTTTTGAGGAAACTCCATACTATCTTCCATAGTGGCTGCACAAGTCTGCATTCCCACCAGCAGTGCATGAGTGTTCCTTTTTCTCCACATCCTCTCCAGCACTTGTCGTTTGTGGATTTGTTGATAGCCATTCTGACAGGTGTGAGATAGTACCTCATTGTTGTTTTGATTTGCATGTCTTGGATGATTAGTGACTTTGAGCATGTTTTCATATGTCTCTTGGCTTTCTGAATGTCCTCTTTTGAAAGGTGTCTATTTAGGTCCTTTGCCCATTTTTTGATTAGATTGTTTATCTTCCTTTTGTTAAGTTGTATGAGTTCCCTATAAATGTTGGAGATTAAACCCTTATTGGTGATAACATTGGCAAATATGTTCTCCCATGCAGTGGGCTTTCTTGTTGTTTTGTTGATGGTTTCTTTTGCTGTGCAGAAGCTTTTTATTTTGATGTAGTCCCAGTTGTTTATTTTCTCTTTAGTTTCCAATGCCCTAGGAGCTGTATCAGTGAAGAAATTGCTTCAGCATATGTCTGAGATTTTGTTGCCTTTGGATTCTTCTAGTATTTTTATGGTTTCCCGTCATGCATTCAAGTCCTTTATCCATTTTGAGTTTATTTTTGTGTATGGTGTAACTTGGTGGTCTAGTTTCATTTTCTTGCATGTATGCATCCAATTTTCCCAACACCATTTATTGAAGAGACTATCTTGACTCAATTGTATGTTCTTGCCTCCTTTGTCAAATATTAATTGAGCATATTGGTTCGGGCTAATTTCTGGACTCTCTATTCTATTCCACTGATCTATATGTCTGTTCTTGTGCCAGTACCAGGCAGTTTTGAGAACAGTGGCTTTGTAATACAGCTTGATATCTGGTATTGAGATCCCACCTACTTTGTTCTTTCTCAGGATCGCTGCAGCTATTCGGGGTCTTTTTTTATTCCAGATGAATTTTTGGAGAGTTTGTTCTAGACCTGTGAAATATGCCGTTGGTATTTTAATGGGAAGTGTGTTGAATTTATAGATTGCTTTGGGTAGTATGGACATTTTAATGATATTGATTCTACCAATCCAAGAACATGGTATGTTCTTCCATCTGTTTATGTCTTCCTCTATCTCTTTTTTCAATGTCCTGTAGTTTTCTGAGTAGAGTTCTTTTACCTCTTTAATTAAGTTTATTCCTAGGTATCTTAATTTTTTTGGTGCGATGGTAAATGGGATTGCTTTTTAGTCTCTCTTTCTGTAAGTTCACTATTGGTGTATAGAAATGCCATAGATTTCTTGGCATTAATTTTGTATCCTGCTACATTGCCAAATTCATTTATTAAGTCTAATAGTTTTTTGATGGGGTCTTTAGGGTTTTTTATGTATAATATCATGTCATCTGCAAATAAGGACAGTTTTACTTCTTCTTTTCCAATTTTGATGCATTTTATTTCTTCTTCTTGTCTAATTGCAATGGCTAATACTTCCAGTACTATGTCAAACAGGAGTGGTGAGCGTGGGCATCCTTGTCTTGTTCCTGTTCTTAGGGGCAATGGTGTTAGTTTTTGTCCATTGAGTATGATGTTGGCTGTGGGTTTGTCATATATGGCTTTTATTATGTTGAGGTATGATCCTTCTATTCCCACCTTGCTGAGAGTTTTTATCAAAAATGGGTGTTGGATTTTGTCGAAAGCTTTTTCTGCATCAATTGATATGACTATGGGGTTTTTTTCTTTCAGTTTGTTTATGTGATGTATCACCTTTATTGATTTGTGGATATTGTACCATCCTTGCATCCCTGGGATAAATCCTACTTGGTCATGGTGTATGATCTTTCTGATGTACTGCTGGATCCGATTTGCTAAGATTTTGTTGAGGATTTTGGCATCTATGTTCATGAGGGATATTGGCCTGTAATTCTCTTTCATTGTGTTGTCTTTACCTGGTTTTGGTATTAGGGTAATATTGGCTTCATAGAATGAGCTTGGAAGTGTTCCTTCCTCTTGAATTTTTTTTAGTAGTCTGAGCAGGATAGGTTTTAGTTTTTCCTTGAATGTTTGGTAAAACTCCCCTGTGAAGCCGTCTGGTCCTGGGCTTTTGTTTGCTGGAAGCTTTTTGATGACTGCTTCAATTTCTTCCATAGTTATTGGCCTATTGAGATTTTTAGATTCTACCTGATTGAGTTTTGGAATGTTGTATTTTTCTAGGAATATGTCCATTTCCTCCAGGTTGTCTAGTTTGTTGGAGTAGAGTTGTCCATAGTATTTTTTAACAATCATTTGTATTTCTGTGGGGTCTGTTGTTATTTCGCCTCTATCGTTT